TTGCCGCATCTCATTCTATTAGTGAATAGGGCCATAATTAATATTTAGCAGCCCTCACAGATATAGATACTCTTATCTTATACATAGTAACTTACTACACTAGAAGGTATCTCCCTGTTTTGTCACTTTTGTCTCATTTTTTCTGAGGAATAAAATTGAGTAAAAGGGGAAAGTGTCACCAGAAGACACTACTGCCAAAGAGTTATAGTTCAATCAATTTCATTTCTCTGTTACAGTATTATGCTATGTACTTTCACCCTTTTGTCTTCTTTATGTACCTTGATATCCACCGGATTTAAATTCCATACAAGTCTGGAAATAACTTTACCATAATCCCACTTAGGGTAGGTGGTCACATTTCCATTACTTGTACACTCCACTTTTGAGGTTTATGGCTTTTTGGGCTCTTTTCCACTTTTTTTATGTGTATGTTTGGTGGGTAAGAGGGATTCCCACTAAAGTGTTGCAGTGTCAGCAACAGTGATATATAGTGATGTCCCGAACGGTTCGCCACGGACTCATCATTGAGTAAACTTTGCCCCTGTACCTCACAGTCAGCAGACACATTCCAGCCAATCAGCAGCAGACCCTCCCTCCAATGTTGCTTCTCACCTTAGTATGAGCCTGTAACCTGGTTCTGAGTGTACAGGTATGGGAGTCTTTGTTTATGGTGACACTGCCCTTCTTTTAACATGATAGATGTTCCAATAGAAATTACATTTATTGTATTCAAAGAATTAAAAACAATGAATATATACAAAGTGCTGGTGTAGTCATCCAAAACGCGTTTTGCCGATTCTGTTTGACTTTCTCAATTGGTAATTGACATCTACATTTACAGTAAATATCCTCCGCCCTTACATTGGTAGGTTGCATGAGATTGTGATACACCCAAACACGAGTGCTGCTGTAGAGGGGAGTGCATAGTGCTGGCTGACAGTGATCTATCCCTTAATGGGGTTGTGCGCGCGATGTCACTTCCGGGAACTTGAAAGCCGTATATACCTATCACAGTCCTTATATACTTGATTTTTCTTGGCTTGAAATTGTGCAGTTAGTTCTCCCAATGTTTTTTTAAGATGCTTGGTTCTTACCCCTTTGTTATACTGCATTCCTGTAAGGAAATGTTCAGCAGTTGCTCTGTTTAATTTCTAATTGAAATCCAGTTCCCCATTGTTCTTAATGGCAAAGTATTGGCAGCAGTGTGTACATATTGTTAGTCATTCACATGTTAAATCACTAAAATCATAAGCTCAACATAAAAGCATTAAGACAAAAAGGGACAATGCATAGTAATTAGTGCAAGTACTATTCATTAGAATATCTTATTGTACTTAAAAATCAGGCACAATGATATACATTTTTGCATAAATCCATTAAGAGATTGAATAGTATCCATGATGAAGTGATAAACCACTAATATATAAAATTTGTATAATGCATATTTGTAATTGAGAGTGGTAAAAAAAAAAAATACAAAGTAATATACTTAAAAATTAAAAATATATATAAAAATATACAAAAAGTTATAAAATTAATAAGTCTTTATAAAAAGTGGCAAAGTTCAAAGTCGTCATTGAGTCCACACGGTTGCATAGCATTAAGATTAAAAATCCACTTAATCTGTTTGTCCGATTTTAATTTGATTGGATCACCCCCTCTCCAATTTCCAGTTATTTGTTGGATTCCTATAAATTTCATTAAATGTGGGTCACTCTAAGGTATGTTTTTAAAATGCAAAGAGACACTGTGTTTAAAAAACCCATTTCTAATATTTCTAGTTTGTTCCTGAATTCTAGTATTTAATGTCCTAGTAGTCTTCCCTATGTGCCCCAGCCTGCAGGGACAGGTAATCATATAGATCACTTTATTAGAGTGGCAAGTAATAACTTGATTTAAAATTTCTTATTCTTATCCTGTGAATGACAAAATTACTTTACTACCCGTTTTTTACTCTTTGAATTTATACATGCTCCACACATACCACAACCGTAAAAATCATTAGTTTCCTTAAATTGATTTGTAGATTTCTTAGGTGGTATGTGGTTCCTTACCAAGTTGCTCTTAAGGTTTTGTACTCCTTTCTATACTACAGTGGGTTTGTCAGGGAGTATAACATTCAAAATGGGGTCATTTTTCAATATTGGCCAATACTTTTTTTTTTTTTCTTAAAATTGCAAATGAACTTTAAGTTTTAGGGTTCTATGTCTTTTTTTTTTTTTTTTTATATTCAACTAATTTATTCCCATCTTTTTCAACTTTAACAAGGGCCTTATTTAAAAGTCCATCGCAGTACCCTCTTTAACCCCTTAAGGACCAAACTTCTGGAATAAGAAGGGAATCATGACATGTCACATAAGTCATGTGTCCTTAAAGGACCACTTCAGCTTAATGAAGTGGTCTGGGTGCCAGGTCCAGCTAGGGTTAACCCATTTTTTCATAAACATGGCAGTTTCAGAGAAACTGCTATGTTTGTGAATGGGTTAAGCCTTCCCCTATTTCCTCTAGTGGCTGTCTCATTGACAGCCACTAGAGGCGCTTGCGTGCTTCTCACTGTGATTTTCTGTGTGGGTAGAAAAAAAAAAAAATCAGAGTAGCACTGTAACTTTCATAAAATAGTTCATTTCAAATGCACTCACATGGTTCCAGATATTGGTAAGCATATCGGCTCATGGTAGATGTACTCAAGAGTCCAGTGTAAGTATTCAAAATCTTTTATTGGAATTAAATGAAAAAGCAAATACCTTCCCCTTCAAAGCCCCCTAGCAAATACCGGCAAATTTCCTGTAGCGATGTGTCCTTAGAATTGGTTTTTAAATACCAGTTGGCTTTTTTGTCATTTAAAATTAGCAGATACATAATTTATAATAATCATAAATAACAATTATGGCCAAATTTCCAACTAGGACAAACAACTGTTAATGTGTGATTTCCATTTTAATCACTGACAACTGGTCTTTAAATGGTTTCCTGATTTACATTCCATGAGGATGTGCTGATAGCACTACCCCGCCACAATGCACTAAAGTGGCCAAAGCCAGCAATGCTGTAAGTACCCTCTAATGTTTTGGTGCCGGTCACTAGGACTCTTGGTGACAAACTCTTCAGCTACCTATACTGTAAAGGACCAGAATTCATTTGGTTGTACCCTTAGATTGGGTGATCTCCTTTATTAAGAGTTCCCTATTCTTTGGTTGCACAGTAGAGATGTACATTTGCCTTTTTTTTTTTTTTGTCTAGTGTTTGGGTAAAAATGTGGGAAGAGTTTGTTTTATCTTTATATCCAATATCTATGTAATACTTGAGTGATATTAGTGAACATGCTTAGGCTAGTAGATGAGGAGTCATAAGCTTAGGCCAGTGCAAGATTGTGTGCCCTAGGCAAGACCAGCTACTTGACCTGACACACAAAACCAAAATTGCCAAATTGTCTTTCTCCTGTTTCCCAGCCCCACTATGTGTCTCTTCCCATCCCAGCCACTCAACCATCTTTGCACCTCTTACAGGGCTGGCTCAAAACATTCTTCTGCCTGGGTCCAAAGATCAAACGCTGCCTCCGCACCAGCAATACTACAGCCACAATGGTCCGCTCGGTCATGCTACATGAAGTGATCATCAGGATGTGCAATGCTGTGTGCTCTCTTCCTGTAGGACACCTAGAGCCTGGTTATTGTAGCCCTGAGTAATGGACCCTAAAGTAGCCATCTGTAACATCTTATGGTATCGCCGACCCAGAGTGTGTAGTGTCTATGCAGTTTATGCAATATGTGTGGTGCCTGTGGGGTGGGTGCAGTTTTTGAGTAGTGGGTGCAGTGTCTTTATAGAGGATACAGTGTCTGTAGTGTATTTCTGGTGTGTGCGCGCATTTTTTTTTTTTTTTTATATATATAGAATTGTTTATTTCCCTCTTCCTGTCTCTTACCTGTGGTCAGGGAGGGTGGACAATGCATATTCTGGTGGTCCGGTGGCAAATCATGTTGTCCCCTCCAGTAGCAGGTACTCCTGTCCCCCCTCACAAGCCATGGAGAATGGATCCTGGTTGCACGCAGCACGCACTGTATGCCAGAGCAACCCATAGCCGCGCTCTCGCAAGCGGAGTACCTGCTGCTGGAGGGGTAGCCTACATTGCCGGACCGTCACATCACTGTATAAGCTAGCAGATAGGCAGTCGGACCCTACCCAGCGCATTTGCAAAATGCTGCCCCTGCTAAAGTGCCACATGGAGCCATGGCCTCACTGTGGCCAATGGACCAGCCAGTACTGACTAGTTACATGTGGTTCACATGGCACCATTACTACAGCATATTGTTGTGATTATGGTGCTAAGTGTACCTCTAACACAAATTTTAAAATTTATCTAAAAGGTGCATGTCTGATTAAATAGAAATATCAAAATCAATGAGTAAAAAAGGCATCCACAAAGTCATTAATATAAAACATAGATCTTACCTTATAAATTAAGTAAACAGATCACTGGACAGATACTTTGCAGAACATGCAAGTGAACTCTGAACTAATCCAATATTATCAACATGCTGCTACGGGAAAGGGGTGATTCAACAGGAAATTGTAAACTGAGGATGACTACCTGGTCAAGAAGTTTTATAGGGAAGTAAGGACTGGGTGTGGTATACAGAGTAATCATTTGACCATATCCTTGATTACACATCCCATGCTAATTAGACCCATTCAGGTAGTAACTCTTTTTTTTTACGATGAAATTGAGTTGTGGAATGAGGACCATGTATATAAATACATATACTGATTGTTTAGTGTTTTATTAAACTTACCTCCCATTATTGTGATTAAAGCAAGGATATAATATACGATGGTGCCCAGAATGTCCCAGCCATTTGTATTTGTAGCAGAGTTATGAGATAAATTAATAAAATTACAATTGGTTTGTTGTACACTTTTATCACTCTTTTATATCAGATTAAAGTGTTTTTTCAGCTGAAGCTCTCAGCAAATGAGCCAGCCATGCACCTACCTCAGGAGAGCTAGTGGATGCAGGAGCTTCTGGGTCTGTCAGATGTAGTAGAGGAGGAGACAAATACCCAGTGGACCCCAGGTAAGAAGTCAGACACTTCTAAAATGGTTTGACTACTTAAACCCTTAAGGACCAAACTTCTGGAATAAAAGGGAATCATGACATGTCACACATGTCATGTGTCCTTAAGGGGTTAAACCACAAAGTGCCATAACCATTATTAAAGACATAAACATAACTGTCAACTGAATTGCATTTCACTATACAATTATATGAGAGTATTGCAACTCAGATATTAGAGAGAGGTTCATCTCTTCTAATAAGAAAACACCTTCTATGATTATAAGAAATAACTGTTAAGTTACAATTGTAAGTTCTTATCATTAGAATAAGCTAGTGGCTTTAATAATTAGAAATATATATTTGTGAAACTACTGACAATCTAATTTAAAGTAATACTTTTCTAATGTACTCAAAATAAATGAAGATATTTTACAACAGATTAAAACAGAAAATTATAGGTATATGATAGAAACAGTTAAAAACATAAAGGGAAACACAGTAAAGGAGGAGACTGTTTAAAAGAAGAAAAACTACCACAACAAGAGGACATAGTCTTAAATTAGAGAGGCAAAGGTTTAAAAATAATATCCGGAAGTATTACTTCACTGAGAGAGTAGTGGATGCATGGAATAGCCTTCCAGCTGAAGCGGTAGAGGTTAAAACAGTAAAGGAGTTTAAAGGGACACCCCAGGCACCCAGACCACTTCTGCCCATTGGAGTGGTCTGGGTACCAACTCCCACTACCTTTAACACTGCAATTGTAATTATTGCAGTTTTTATAAACTGCAATAATTACCTTGCAGGGTTAAGTCCTCCTCTAGTGGCTGTCTATCACACAGCCATTAGAGGGTCTTCCATGTTCTTAGAACACGAAAAGTGTTTTACGCAACGCTGGATGTCCTCATGCTACGTGAGGACCTCCAGCGTTGCTGAAATCCCCATAGTAAAGCATTGCCATTTTGCATTTCATGTAATCTTCATGTATATGCAGTATATGCATTCCATTATTGCACTTTCATAAACGATTGTATATATATTTGTTTGGAAACATCTAATACATTATTACAGGAATTCATTTTTCTTTAGCAGCCTCCACTAAATGATATATGCCTTATTCCTTGTTGAATGTGTGTTGGCTAATTAAATTGAACACAGTATAATCCAGTAATGAATCAGACAAATGAAGTGTTATTAGAAACTCACATGTTCCTGAGCCATAACCAGGCTCTTTGCTTTGCATATCAAGTGCCCTTAAATATGGTTTAAAATTGTATTATAAACATACTTGGGCAAAGACCAGAGGACATTTACTGAAACTGTGGCTTGAGGTCACAGGTGATTTGCATGATTTGCATTTTAAGTGATCAGTTTGAGTTGGGATACATTTACAATTCAATGGAATAAGGAGTAAATGGTAACTAGATGCATTGGATTGGAAATTTCACAACAGAGATTATTTGTTTTATGGAAAAGAATATTTATGAAGTTTGTAATTTTTCTTTTTATATTGACATTTTCCTCTGAATACAGAAGGAGGTGTGGCCTCTGTACAGATTGCTGCCTGAATGTAAAATATATTTCTCAGACCAGCGAATGACATCCAGGGTTTTTTCTCCTTTCAATACAATAAACATGGGAGTAGCACCTCCTCTACTTTTTACGGCATTTCTAAAGACATTAATATACAAATTACTGAAAAACTTGATAAGTGATTATCTGCAGGACTGGAATATTAACAGTTTCAGTGAAAAGGACCCTGTTGTAACATCTTGGGAATATACTTTTTGTTTTTCTACAAGAGAAAAAAAAAGTAAAAGTGCAACAAATGTGTGCTTATAAAACATATTTTATATCAATGTGGATACATTTCCCATATTCTAGATTTAATATTCTTTATAAAGCAATTATCACAGTTAATGACATTCACATATTCTAGAAATGTAAGGTGAACTAAACCTTTGTCCACAGTTGAATTCATTAGTTGAATTAGATAACTATTCAAAATAAAATAATTAATGTTTGATAAAATAGTTAAAAACATTTTCTAATAATGATGTATTTGCTTAGTTTGAATTTCAATAATTAGTAATGAATGAAAATGTGTCCTTAGCTTGTACTCCCTTTTTATATCATAGTATTAACTATTATTATTTTAAAGGATATCTGTTCAATCTGATGGGTGAGTGTCCACTCTAACAATCCGGCAACATTGCTACAAAGTATTGTTGTACTATTTTCAATAAGGCTTCCATTTTGGAGCATTAATTTTCCTCCCATAAATGTGAGTGTATTACCCTTTGGAATTATGTATTTTTAATCTGTTAATATAGTGTGTCTTAAATGAGGAAATCCCTATTCCACAGCAAATGAATTAATCCTGCTTCTAGTATACACGAATGAGAAGGTAGATAACATAACCAGACCATTTTTAGTCTGCACATTCTCAAAAGTTTTTTGGGTTTATTAAAAATAGTCATACAGGCTAACTCGCTGAAGCTTTCATAAGTTGAAGAAAAAGATTAATTAAATTAGCCTTTTTCTGTGGTTACATTCTACGTGTATCTAGGTCAGTCTGGGGATTTACAGAATTTTAACTACCATACCGAAGGGGGTATAAATCTAAATCTTTGGGAGAAAACTCCTTTATGTGTTATTTATTTTAAAGTTTTAAAAGATTGTATTTGAAACTTTTTTAAACTAATGTTACTTCAGAACCCAGTGGGTGTTTTATAAAAAGTTAATTATTTTGGTCAATGATGCTGTAACATTAACTTTTTTTTTTTTAGCTGTCTTGGGTGACCACTCCTGCTCTAAAATGTCCTGTATGCTTATTAGAAGTTTTATTAACCACAAATTTCTAATTGACCAGCGGTCTTAAAATCCATTCATGGGTGGGGTTTACAATCTCCCAGGGGAAAGCATTACCTATTTAGTGGGTATCACGTAGACATGTGTTACATGAATAGTGGGGATAAGTTGTATTTATATCAAAAAGGAACTATCTTTGGATAGTTAGAGTACTGAAAGGTACTGAGAGTCCTGTTGGGTAAAGTCTATAAACAGGAACGCTGAATGGATGCTGAACATGATGATGCATTTCATAACCCATCAGCAATTGATATATTCTGGGTGACATCATGCACATTGCATACTGAATCCTCATGCCATCCATTGTACCATTACTGTTTAATTCAACACCTAATTTTAATATCAAACATTACTTGCAAATTCAACAGTTACAGGGTAAAGGGATTAATTAGCAATTGAATGCTTGTTCAAGGCCTTTGTCCTAAGCCTAGCCTGAGGATGAGCCACTCCCTGTTCTACCACACCTTAAAAACCCTTGGACCAGTATTGAACCTCAGTCTGTAACTGGTTGTTGATCCAGCACAGTCAAGTCTACTCTGTCAGAGGCAGCAGGTTGACCACACTTGGTTTATGATGATGACTGATATCTATGAGAACCTAGAAGATCAAATTGGTGATATGTTCCAACTAATTAAAAAGTTAGGCCAGGGCAGCTTTGGCCAAGTCCTGATGGCTAAGGAAAGAAAATCAGGTGAGTTTCTATGATTCCACTATTTAACTTTTTTTTTTTTTTATATATATGCGTGTGACTGTTACAATCAATGCCATTGAAGTTTATTATTTAAAATGACATTTTAATAACTTTGTCTCTTGTAAACAGGAGAATCGGTGGCATTAAAGATGGTGAGCAAAGATCGAATGGAGCTAGAAAACTTTCTTACCGAAGTCCGCTTCGCTTTCCAACTTTCCCAGTGTCATAGGATTATAACCACCCATGCTACCATTATTGAAACAATGGATTATTATATTTTCTCCCAGGAGCTGGCCACAGCTGGCACACTTCACTCAATCATTGAGACCGAGGTAAGAAAGAAATTATAGTTAGAGTGTGTGTGTGTGTGTGTGTGTGTGTGTGTGTGTGTGTGTGTGTGTGTTTTTTTTTGTATTGCTGACATATGTGTAGACAATAATATTAAAAAAAAATTTTAAGCCAGAGAGGGAAAGCAATTAATTCCTATCCATTAAGCATACACACTGCATATTATATACACACTCACAATAAAAATAATATATATAGGCTTTGTTTATGTATTAACCCCTATATACATGAAATACACATATTTAGAATTCTAAGGTATTGTGTGTGTGTGTGTATATAATCATACATGCCTCAACGTGTTTTTTTTTGTTTTTTTTGTAGGTTGGAATTCCAGAGGAGAAAGTTAAGCGCTGTGCGGCACAGTTAGCAGACGCTCTGGAATACATGCATAGCAGAGACCTAGTTCACAGGGACTTGAAGACAGACAATGTCTTACTTATGGACAAGGAATGTTACCAGGTTAAACTGGGTGACTTTGGGTTCACCCAGCCCGTTGGCACCCTTGTCTCATCCATGTCACACATTATTCCGTACATGTCTCCAGAACTTTGCCACCTTCAGAAGGATGAGTTCCTTGTTGTTCACCCCAGTCTGGATATCTGGGCCCTTGGAGTCCTACTGTATGTGATTCTTACTGGGTTGTACCCATGGGAAGGAGCTGTATGGCATGACCAGGACTTCAAGAGGTTTGCTGAATGGCAAGAAAGTGGAGACTTGGATTTCCCCCCTCTGGACTGGGGCAGATTCACCAGGGATGCAATTAAAATGTTCTCCCGGTTGCTCTCTTTGGACCCCACTGCAAGACCCTCCAGTGATGGTGTATTGGAATATTTAAGAGTATCTTGGAGCTTTAACCAAAGTTTCATTGAAATGGACATTGCAGAGGAAGTGGAAATTGAAACAACAGTGTGCTAGGCACTAGAATTCCACACTGTACTTGTGCACAAATCCCTTTCAGCTTTGCTAAACACAAACACCTGTTAATCTAGGAACAAACTAAACAATTCATTGGACAAATCCCATACTAATTGATTAATTTGTCCATAGACTGATAGACATTTGATTACTTCAACACAGCACTTGCGCACAAGTCTTTTCTACACCCTTTGCAATTATTCTCTAGACACGTCGCGGGTAAGAACTGTCCTGCTAAAACATGCACAAGATTTTATATGACACTGTACATCAACTTTCAGAACATCTATGCCATTTTGCATTTCATGTAATCTTCATTACATTATTGCACTTTCATAAATGATTGTATCTATATTTATTTGGAAATATCTAATAAATTATTACTGGAATTCATTTTTCTTCAGCAGCCTCAACTAAATGATATATGCCCTATTCCTTGACTATTTCCTTGTTGAACATGTGTTGGCTAATTAAATTGAACACAGTATAATCCAGTAATGAATCAGACAAATGAAGTGTTATTAGAAACTCACATGTTCCTGAGCCATAACCAGGCTCTTTGCTTTGCATATAAAGTGCCCTTTAATAGGGTTTAAAAATGTATTATAAACATACTTGGGCAAAGACCAGAGGACATTTACTGATACTGTGGCTTGAGGTCACAGGTGATTTGCATGATTTGCATTTTAAGTGATCAGTTTGAGTTGGGATACATTTACAATTCAATGGAATAAGGAGTAAATGGTAACTAGATGCATTGGATTGGAAATTTCACAACAGAGATTATTTGTTTTATGGAAAAGAATATTTATGAAGTTTGTCATTTTTCTTTTTATATCGACATTTTCCTCTGAATACAGAAGGAGGTGTGGCGTCTGTACAGATTGCTGCCTGAATGTAATTGAATTTCTCCATCCAGCGAATGACCCCCAGGGTTTTTTCTCCTTTCCATACAATAAACATGGGAGTAGCACCTCCTCTAATTTTAATGGCATTTCTAAAGACATTAATATACAAATTACTGAAAAACTTGATAAGTGATTGTCAGGATGCCGGCTGATGGTCAGATCTGTAAGTAGTTCTTGACACGAAAGCACGATCCAGAAGCATGCCACATCCATCTGAGACCTTTCACACTACAGTCAACGAATCAGCAACTTGTCTTAGATTTATCTAATAAAGATTCAACAAGATTGTATAAGCAAAAATACTTAAAACTTTGTGACATGTTAACTCAAGCTAACACATTAACAGTCATCTAAACTAATGCTATCTATAAACACTGTTACTCTTATGACTTATCTATACATGGCTACATACTCATCCTAAATGACATTTCTTACTGACTCCTTACTACCGATTGCAAAAAGCTATGAACCTGCTCAGAAGAAAATGTAGTTAAATGATGACAAGGAAACGGTTAATGGCATTAACATACATGATATCATGACACATCACATTTCATATCAGACGATGCTCAACCTTTCAATTGAGGATAGATGTTCATCCTTCTGCTTCCAAATAGTTACTATAATCCATTAGGGATTTAGGGTGAGAAATGCACAACTGATTAATGTAAAACCATTTTCCAAGAAAATCACCATACTTTGGAATCTTATACGCTACTGGGGAAATTGTCAATTATGACATGTGGTCCCTTACAAGAAGGTAAAAATGAAATTTTACTTTTACTGATTTCTTGCAATCATAGAGATAATTAGATATGTGCAATTTGTTTCGTTCACAATGTACATTTGGACATTGGGATGCTAACAAATATCCGAAATGCCTCAGATTTCTGAAAAGTGGCAAAACGAGGGAGGGAGGGAAAATTATGTGAATGATGGCCGGAATCTTGATCAATAAGCTACTTCCTTGCACTGGGAGTCCTATAGATGTGTAAGTGGTTGTGGTGGCAGTCCTGGCACTGTGGAGCTCCCTTCCTATTAGGGTAATGGGCAAGGGGTTCCCAGTGCCAAGACAGCCACTACAGCCACTTAGACATCTGTAGGGCTCTCAGTGCCAGAATTGCCACCAAAACTACTTACACATCTATAGGGCTCCCACTGCCCAGAACTGCCACTACAACCACTTACTAGATATGTGCAATTTGGATGCTTACAAAGTTACAAATGGCCTAAGTTCTATAGTTCAAAAGAGCCGAACCGAATGTCATTGGTCCGAATTGCTGAATCAGAAATGTTTAATTACCTGAATTTCCGAACCAAACTGATTTTTTTTGCCCATGCACATCCCTAGGGATAATCTTGATCTCATACATTGTATTCCCTTTTTATTTTATTTTTGTTTGTTTTTTTATGCTCTACGCTTGTCTAATGCCTTCAGACTTCTTCAGGGGGAAAGTTTAATCTCATAGATGGACGGGTCATGCCTCGTTATACCACAAGTTTCTGGATCCAGCTGCCATTGTGCGTTCATATTACACATATGCATTTTACCCATATAAAGAAGTCAAAGTCAACATTTAAAGCCCTAAGTTGCAAAGCCTGGAGTATGTGTATCCAAAAGCCATCTCTCTTCCTTAATTCTAACAAAAGCCTACCTCCTTTATCTATTTGTACCTGCTCTAGAAGAATAAAAGAAAAATAATTCAAATCAAAATAATGGTCTATATTACAGTGCTTAGGAACTGTGTGCTATATATATATTTTTTTTAAATATTAAGATGTTCCATAAACCTAGCTGTGGTCTTTCTTCCTGTCCTTCCCACAAACTGCAACCCACAGCTACAGGTCAGTAGGTATGACATGTGTGGAGTCACAGGAAGAAAAGTCACCAACTTTAAGGGTCTCACCAGTTTTAGTACTTATGTATGTATCTGTTGGGTTTTTTTTTTGTTTAGAGAAGGTATCTACAGCCTTTAGTATCCACATGTTATAAAACCCATCTCTTGAGTATCCTTCTTTCTCCTAAATATTCTGGGACCTAACTGTTTTTAAAATTAATTTAAGGTAAAATTGGTAGTTACTGGTTTTAAAATCTCATCTACAAGTAACAAAGACCAATGCTTTTTAATAATGCATTAAAACTTGAGTTATATTTATTAAACGCAAATCCATATCCATTGAGATTGGGTTGTTTCTTCTTATTTAATAGATCACCTCTTTTTATTTCCCCAAGTTTAATTATTGCGGAGTATAAAAATTCACTGTAATAATGCAATTCCTACAGAGCCTAATAAATTGACTCTTGGGGACACTGGACAACCTTTTAGGGTGGTTGTAGCTCCCACTGTCTATATACCCGTTTGCAGCCATAGGTTTTGTAACGGCACCCCCTGGCATAAAAGGGGTTAAAGCCATTTAGTAGATATTCCCCTTCCAGTTAAACAGGCAGCTACTGTAGACACCAATCCACCAAACCGGAGAAGCATACGAATGTTCTCAAACATATGAATGCTGTAAGCAGCCGAATGGGAAAAACCATACGAAAGGTTTACACTCCTAGCAGTCGAACTGGAACAGCATACAATAAATCCCCCCCAAGAACGAGACAAGGCTCCATGTTGAGGGTCAAGCAGGAACAGAAAGAGCTGTGGGTTTATTGTTCTTATATACACATTCGTACCACCCACAGGATTTTGTAAAACAACCAATAAACACGTCACATGGCCGCAATAGTTGTCCATAATGCTGCCTGCAGGAGGACTGCCTGAACTGACAGGTAGTTTCCCTGTGTAACGGAGCTCCTAGTACTCCAACCGAGTACCTCCGTTGCTGGATGCTCCTAGTGCTTCCCGAGGACTCCAAGCACTCCACTTGACACCATCAGCACTGCAGACCGAACCTCTCTTCCTGCAGAGAGCGAAGCTGGAACAAGCTCTTAAAATAGCTTAGTGATTATAGCTAGGGGAGTATGTAGAGTATAGCAATCCCCCAGTGTAAATGCAGCATTTTTCCCCACACATGAGATGAGGCTCTAGCTTGAGGGTAAAACAGGAACTCAGCAGTCTGAGGGTTTATTGGCACTTATATGCAACTTTTTACACAATGTTACCACCCACATGGTTTTGTGGCACAGCCAATCAAACACGTACAATACAGTTAAACACTCCCATTCCATCCAGCAAAATCCTTCCCTCTGCCTGTGATATAATTACTGTACACAATGGGTTAACATAATTATCACAGGCAGGAAAATACACAGTTTTATACAATAGTCATACAATCTCCATATTACATATTATTAATCAGCATACTTCAAATATACACATATCAAAAAAGCAGACAATTCCCTCCAGTGGTTAAAAAGTTAGCTGGAAGTCCTTTTTGACCGACCCCAAGCAGGCTTTCCTGCCCAAAACAGTTCCATAGATTTGGGCTGTGTGGTCGGTCAAAAAAATGACAAAATCCCATTCTAATGCATGAACGAGGCACCGTTCATGGAAATGGCTTAGTATACTGTGCGTTCGAATTGTCGAACAGGACTTAGTTTTCAGCCGAAGCGTCAAAGTGGAGGAGAAGGTAAGGGTCAGCGGTGTACGTGCAAATGGATAGCCGATTTTAGTTCCATGGATTTGACTGCACACGTGTTCGACTGTACGAACAGCAGCCACACAGCCGTCGGCAATTAACCTGCGGTTAACCGCCAGTCTGGGAGGTAAATTAGCCGCACACTTCCACTTCTGTGTGGTGCACCTGTGTAATACTTGGTTCGGTAAGCCCCATTTACCGAACCAAGAGGGGAGAAGACATGAACAAAGTATTTTAAGGGTCTGGGGACATAGTCCTAAAGGGGCATTGTTCCAAAAAGTCCCAATATGCCCACATACAGTTTTTAAAGGGCCATAGTCATGAGGCAGGAGGCTGGCAAGCAGTCCTCTCCAGGACCAAGTGGCGAAGGGCGAAAATAAAATGTAAAAATAATAGAATAAAATTACATATAAATATATATTAATATAAAAATAGTTGAAAAAATTATATATATCAAAATACACTTAGATACATATAATTTTATTCTATGTATATATAAATAAATAA